TGTGAACTACTGTTTCGTAGGTCAGGTTTGAATTCGAGGGAAAAGTATACAGAGAACCGGAAGATATTGCGCTGGAGAGTTCCCTATTGGTAGGGGATGATTGGACAACCAACTGCTGGTCAAATTGCCAGATCTTTTCTACACACGTAACTGGTTGACGACATTTATCTGTGTGGGAACGAGTTACGGCTGGAAAGATCAGGTTCCAGGTGAGTCTCTCGAAAGACCAAATTAGTTTGCAGATGAGTGTATTTCGCTAATTTCGTACCTCGGGGACTGCGCCTATCTGACGAGCGCCAAAAAGGTCGAAACCGGTCGTGGACTGTCGACGAATTTTCAGCAACTTCATGAGTAGTGCATTACAAATATGCATGTATCGCGATATCTCGAATATCGTAGTGACTGAAACATGAGGCGGCCTGATGCGGCACATTCAGTTGCCTGGAAATATCACAAACGATGGATTCAGTTGGGTTCCCGATGAGTCTCTCGCAAAACCAAATTAGTTTGCAAATGAGTGTATTCCGCTGAGTTACGGCTTACTTTTTCGGATATATTTAGTCGTGAACATACAGGTATCCGCGGCATCCTACCAGCCGTAAAAATACGTGGAGTGGTCCGTATCTACAGTTCTCGAGTTACAGCCCAACGGCTTATGAGCGCGGACCGGTAAATACTTCAGTCTACAAAACTGGGAGACTTTGCACCCCGGATTAACTAGATCAAGAACGGGAAGTTTTGAGGAAAGCTCACTAACGAACGGTTATCCCGAATGCTTCATTGAACCGTAACTCAACCAATCCCGGTTAACTGGGCTAAAACGGAAGATGTGTGCTTATCCCTTCAATTCAAGGGTGACTACCTGAACACCTATTTCAGATCTACGACGTCCCGTCTCCGTTTGCTGTCGACCACTAGGGAAATTGCGACGCAGTCTCCGAGTTCTGCTGCAGCCTCAGAGTCGCTCAAGTTGGTAGAACGCACAGATATCTAGCGGAACAATCTGCAGAACACATATCCAAATATGCAACCCAAATACTCTCAGGGCGATCAGTAAGTGAGGAGTCTAATCAAAACCCGGCATCGTAAATGGTCAGAGGTCTGCTGGATATTGGCCCGATCAAGGCTTTAACGATACGCAAATCGTTGCAGACCAAATCACACCTCCACAAAGGTGTCAGTGTTTCCAAGTCGCTATGATGTTGCACGCTGCTTGAAAGATCTTGCGCAACGGTCCTTTAGCTGCACATACGTAGGCCTTGACACGAAGTGTTTCAGTCACCCGAGTGGTATTACCCCCATCCTTTTTTGAAATGCTCCCACTGACATATTATTCCCTTTCTGTATGAAAGCTATGCAAACTAAGCGCTCTTTAAATGTAAATTTATGTGTTCCTGTAAGTTCTTCATCATTCTTGTTGTCGCATTTTCTGATAACAAATCTCTTCCGCTCAAAACAGGCCTCAAACTCGTCTCACGCTCGCTCCCATGTTCACACATCGCTTACAAAATATACTCTGTACTTGTCCGCAGTTGTATTCTGCTTCAATCTCTTCAGTTGATGCCTTGCAGTCAAATTTGGAATATCTTCCAATATACAAATGTGAAACTGTCAACACCCGACTTCAGGCTGCTGTTACAAACTCAGTGTACTTTTTTACTGCGTTACACCTTGCAGTTGTCCAAAGTTGGAGCGTGACCGCTCAGCGGTTAGAGCGCGAATTTACTGACCGGAAAGTCCGTTGTTCGAACCCAACCTCTGCATCTCGACTTATGTCTAGGCTTGTGTAACCTGGCAGTATCCCAGCCCTCGTGCAACCTTCGGGTGGCATATCACTCTGATACCGAAATGGTGTTACAGCTGAACGACTAGATTTATTTAACGTTGCATTCAGTATACGAAAACCAAGTCTGTTGCTTCAAGCGTTCGCGGACCGGTAAGGTAACACTGAGATAATGTTTACGTACCGGTCTCCTACTTCAAGTTATCTGATGCACTCTGCAAAATTCTCATCAAACGAATTCCGTCCGAAAAGACGAGCACCTGGTTGTTGATCAGGTGGCTGTTTGGGCTGGTCACCGGGTGGCTTGCAAACGTCTCGTCTCCCGTGGAGGAGAAATCACCAGTACCCAGTTGAATGGGTACTTCCTCCTGTGTGTGTGCGTTTGCATCACCTTCAAGGAATTCGTGAAGTCAGCGAAACACACTCAGTTTCAAGCCAATTTGGTTTCGTGGGAGATTCACCTGAAACCCAGCTAAATCGCTCGTTTATGATCGTTCTAAGCAAATGAGTGTGCTGCATATTTCAGCTGATGAGATATTTGCCATATCGCGATACATGTATAGACGTATTGCACTTCTCGCAAGGTTGTTGAAACTTCTTCAACAGCCCACAACCAGTCCCGCCCTTCTTTGGGCTCATTAGGTAGCCACAGTCCCCGAGTTCCCATCAATCTTATGTTCTACTTAAAACCAAATTGCAGGAAACTAGCGGAATACACTCATTCGCAAGCCAGTTTGGTTTTGCGGGTGACTCACCTGGAACCCATACGATTCTGGTTTATGATGTTTTCAAGTAGAACATAAGGTTGACGGAAACTCGGGGACTGCGCCTACCTGATGAGCTCTAAGCAGAGCGAAGCCGGTCGTGGGCTTTCGAAGAAGTTCATGAAATCCTCTGTGATTTGCTGATGAGAGGGTGGCTTCCAACCTGATCCACTTGAGATCAACTAGGCGGCTTATGATTCCTGAATGCTCCACCTTCCAAGATTATTGGTACCACTTTGTACATGGTGTTCAATTATATCGGAACTGAGAATTTTCAAACAGCCTTGATCTCACCGATAACAGTTCGAAAAAGATCCCCAAAAAACTGGATAAGTCAGGGTGGACCGGCGCAACTAGTTGACTCAGGTTGTGTCTATAATAGTCCAGATTAGTTACCATGTTAGACGTAACACGCTACTTATAAGGTTGGTGAAAAACCTGACTTGATGAGCTCAAAGAAGGGCTATCGAAAGGTTTTCAGCAACCTTATGGGCAGTGTGTTACGCCTATGTAGTGTATTGCGATACCAACTGAAACATGAGGCAACCTGGTGCAGTAAGTTCAATTGAAGGGGAGGGAGCGATTCAGTCTATCGTGAAACCCAAATTCGTATGCAAATGAGTGTATTTCGCTAGTTACCGTGTCAGTTATCATGTTGCTCGACTGCTGTCTATTATCCTGATTAAAACGCATCAAAACAGAGCTACGCTCTATAGGTAACCTCATTATTATCAGGTATGAATGATGTAGTCTCGGCTGAGGAGAACAATTTAGAGTGACGAGGTGTATGTCTAGTTAATTCAGGGTAAATCTGGAAAAATGAAGGCTACGTATGAACAGCGTTCCTTTTCCTCGGTTCATTCGCACAGCAATGTACAAAATGACGCCCACCCAAAATGTCAGTGAAACATTCGAGCGAGCTGGTTGGCTTTTCGAACATGGATCGCAGTGCATATCCAGCCTCTCTTTATGCTATCGCGCAAAACAAAATTGCATCGATTGGTTGAATCGACTGTGAGATTTTAGTGGTTCCTTTTCCTTTGTTGAGGCTCGCGAATGCTCGAGCGACTGCCTTTCCGAGACATTATATCAGACCTTTCCACAAACAACAGACCTTATGGAAGAATTGGAAACTTTCCGACGAAAATCGGCCTTCGTCAGGAACCGATAGCTGTATGTTCCAGGATCAAATTACCTTGTTCTTCTCAGCTTTTCTCTCAAAACATTCAACTAGGATTGATGTCTTGAAATAGTCAATGAGTTTCAGATAAGGTGATTACTCAAGCTGTCCGCTGCGGCAAACGCAAGCAAATTGCTTTGTTCTCCATCCGAACGACATGAAATCTCGTCATGGTAGCAAAACTTTCGGATAGTTGGTCATTATCAGGCCATCAGAGGCTACTTCCTCCTTCTAGGCAACCGGTAGATTGGAATTAGAGCTGTGGATTGTGCTGGTGACATTAGTCGGCTTTCTGGTCACAAACAAAGTTACGACTATTTTCGAGAAATACACTCATTTGCAAATCAATTTGGTTTCTACGAAAGACTCAACTGAATCTCTCGTGTATGATATTCTACAACTGAATGTGCGGCACACATGCCGTCTCACGATTCAGTTGGCACGATATTCGAGATATCGCAGTATATTTTCATAAAGGAAACTACTCACAAAGTTGTCGAAAAGTTTTCAGCAACCTTGTGAGTAGCTTCCTTCATGAAAAAGTTACGACTACTTTCCGCCGGAAGGCGAAGTAAAGACGTCATTAACCAGTTCTGGGCTATTCGCAACAATAATCAAACTTCGGTCGACCGTCTGTTTGCAACATGGAATGATCGTGCATGTTTGTCTGTGATCCTTTCGGAATCATGAGATATTTGAAAAATGTGAGACGATAGTCTGACGCCTCCCTACGTTGAGTCTCTCTGCTAACGCTCCGTGACAAACAGCTATCGGCTAGTTTCCCCCAATAGGAAATACCGATAGACATAATACGGACGGAAAAGCGCCCTTGACCGGGACTCGAACCCGTGAACTCCCGTTTGCTGGACAAGTGGCCGACTGATGAGCCACCACAGACGACGCCCCACACAATTCTTCAATGCCTCAACCTAATGGATGAAAAGTTTACGCAAGCCAGCCGCGTTCGTCCAGCCATCAGGTAACTTCCACACCGGATCATATGCCTTTATCCTCCACACACCCGAACCACATCGGCTTTAATTGATGTGGAAGAGACGACGGCACTTTGAACACCTTGAATAGGAGACATGTATTGTACGAACAGAGAGCGGACCCTCTCGTACAGGAATCGAACCGGAGACCTCTCGCTTGCTAGACAACTTCTGTACTAAACAGGGTTGTTTTGTAATTCACGAGTGCACACAAACAATATGCCTGCCGGAATGCACACAAGTAGAAAATCAAGCGGACGTATGCTGATATGATGTATAAGCGGAAACTTCTTACTTCATCTGAATACATGCTTGGTCTCATAGTTCCGAACCATCGGAACGCTTCCAAAAAACAAAATACAACGGGGATTAGGGCAACAGTGAACAATATGTACAGGCTGAGCTTGTATGATATCATGTCGCCCAGTTGTGTCATGGTTGATGAATCGGGTAAGCAGTGGCGAAAATACAGGCAGGAAGAAAGCGATGAAAAAAGCAACGAAAAAAAACGGAATGAACGAAAAAATAAAATCAGAGTAACTGAGATAAATAAAGACAACGCGACACAGCATAATCTTCACAGCATCGAAAACGCCACATAGTCAGGAGTGGGAGCGCCTGCATCGGCTAGGTTTCCTTGAATAAAAATTGTGTTGTTTAAGTGGAATAGGATAGGAAGAGTGGTGTCGAGCGATGACAATTTCAGTGGGCTGAAATGAAAAGAAACTGAATTAATAGTTCATCTCAAACTCGGTTAAACGTATCACTGCCTAAAAATTCGGTAAAATGTGCAAATTAACAGTCAATCTACTTCGTTTCCTTATTTTAGTGTGACGTCTCCTCAACCGGGGGAAGGAATCAACTTGAGAAGGAGTTTTGCAGGAAAGTACGGCACAGTGGAAATGGCGTCTTCAAATGGTGCGTTTCTTCGCGAGAAAGAACTTTAACCGACTCACCACAGGAAGGAAGAAGCGACTGTGGTGATTTTCAAAGAACAATAAAAACCGGCGTGCTAATAGAAAATGAAGCAAGAAATGTTCGGTCAGCTGTGATACACTTTCGGTGCATGACTATCGTTAAACCCGAAAGATGCACGAGGGCTCGGATACATTTTGGGGGGGGGGGGGGGGAATCAACTTGAGAAGGAGTTTTGCAGGAAAGTACGGCACAGTGGAAATGGCGTCTTCAAATGGTGCGTTTCTTCGCGAGAAAGAACTTTAACCGACTCACCACAGGAAGGAAGAAGCGACTGTGGTGATTTTCAAAGAACAATAAAAACCGGCGTGCTAATAGAAAATGAAGCAAGAAATGTTCGGTCAGCTGTGATACACTTTCGGTGCATGACTATCGTTAAACCCGAAAGATGCACGAGGGCTCGGATACATTTTGTCTTGCTTGGAAGAGAACAATTGCTAAACCAAGATCAACACGAACCGCCTACCTCCTAGTGAGTGACTTCCCTCTTTGAATATCAGGTTATTTCGAGGTCGAGGCAAAATTCACGGTGAAACTGGAACCCGAGCACGAGGCAGACACCCTTTGAATTAGGTCAGGCAGGCATACAGGTACGAAGGCACATTCTGAGTTGTAGCCGGACGAAGCAACAAGCACAGAGGCCGAGGCACTGACCACTTAGGTTCGGTTATTACAGACCGCTGGGTATTGTCAGTCCCCTGCCACCACTGTAAGGCCGACCTAGCTTCGAACACAGTCAGATAAGGCGTCAACCGTGAGCTTGAACTTTTATCATCCGACCAGCTAACTTACGACTGCTCACCTGCTTTCAGTCTTATTGGTATTGAAACGGGGTACGTCAGTTGCAAAATGAGGGTAAACTAAACAGTTGGAGAAAGTATGCAAACACGTGGTTGTCTGGTCTTGTGTGAAACGGCGAATACAGTGACTGAAACAATGTCTACCTTACCGAATTAGCTGATCATTTCTAGGACAGACGGGAAACAGAAAAAGCAAGTTGGTCACACTGCCGGGGGACACACACGGATCGCGACCAAGTATCCGTGCAATGAGACGTTCAATCAAGAAGGGCCACCAGACGACAGGTGGAGAAAACACGTTTTTGGCAAGCTCAGGTTGAAAAAGAAACCGAGTCAAACTTACTGCTTATGTGATGATCCCTATTAGGTTGACAATCGTGCAAAAATGCACAGTGCATAACAAAACAGATCGTTCCGTCTTCTAGTCACTCTTGTTTTGGCGCAAAATGGAATTGGAAGTGCCGACTGGAGACGAGGGCGGTTGATCCTGTGATGGTGAACGGATTTCTCGAGTTTCGTTGGATGACGCATCATCGCTAGTTGTCGGGCTTGGGTAGTTCGCAGGTTCCATCGGACCAGGCACGGTGGCAACCACTGTCACCATGCGTGCGCACGGGAGATTGGAAATAACGGTTTCGCCGGAGTTCGACGTTTCGGTGAGATCGTGGAGTGCGTCGTGGTGAAGGCCACCTCTGTGCCGTTCATGATGGAAACAATACTCGTCGACTTCACCACGGTCCTCGAGAGTTGCACAACCAGTATTCTGGAAGATAGAAGAGTACAGGTAGACGATAGGGTATTTTTTCCGGGTGGATTAGAGGTATGGGAATCAATCTGATCCAAGCAGAGTGAGATTCAATAGGAGGGTAGCCGATAGATAGGATGCATTTCGCTCGCGGAAGAATTCACTATTAGAAGGTTGGCTCATTTCCGGTAAGTTGTTCTTAATAGTAACCGGAGAATCAATTAATCAATCAAAATCAAAAGTAACCAGAGAAAGGCTTGTCATTGTGTTATATGTTTCAGAGAAATGCACACCTCGGCAGGAACTCACATCAAAGTTTGTGGTTTCCAAACTATTTGCGTCCTGCCTTCTGCGTCCTTCATCTCCAGATTTTTCGCCGACCAGTGAGACAAGAGGTTGGAGTTCCATGCCACCGCCATCCTCCATGTAAGTCTGTTTGTCCTCCATCAGAATATCATCACAACTCCGGCTACGACCGAGTGGTTGACCACTGACCGATCCACAGTGGCTGCATACGGAACCAGACGAACCCTCGCGTGCTGACTGGGAAGAAGAGGAGCTTGAAACGGGATCAAGGATAGCTGACCAACACAGATATCTGCGAGTTTTATCCGCACATTTGTTGGCCCGACGATTGGGGCGATTGCGATCAATTGGTAGGGAATGGATGGAGTGATGAAGGAATGGTAGTGTAGACCGAATCTCGCTTGTAGGTGCAGTTACTTCCACGTGATAATCCACGGCTCCAAGTCCACCATTTGATCGTGGAGAACCGTTGGACAGCATCGAATTGAACGATTCTTCACCCTTCTCTTTCAGAAGTATGCTGGATGTTCGACTATGTGAATCGACATCAATCTCATCCACCTCAGCAACACTTGCTAAAGTATTGCCGGACTCAAATGCATCAAGCTGGAGGCCACGTCGCTTGCGTCGAAGAAGTCGCTGTCCGTCGGCAAGCTTTCCTCGAATCGGCCGATTCACAGGCAGGCTGTGAGACCGTTCTTGATGATCACCGGTCCCGTTTGGTTGGAAGCGGCTAAAATCAGCAACTTCGGTTAGGTCAAGTTGTCGCTTCTGAGAGCATATCCGTACCAGAGCACATATGAGTACCAAGGGCACCGGGGCGAGAACTACATTAAAGTGGAAAGAGACGATAGAAAACGAATACGAAAACAACTAAGACCTCAGACGTAGAATACGGAAAAGCTCCACCGTAAGGACGACAGTCCACGCACATACACAACAGCTTTTTATGTCTCGTTCGCAACAAGATTAACCGATAAATCCACTCCGAAAGAAAAACGCTCGATAAGTCACATAGGTTCACCCTGAAACTCCTCACTCAAGGAACCAAGTAAAGTGACGTGAATCGTTTGACTGAAGGATGGATGGCGCTATCCAGATATTAGTGGTCAGTCAGTCATAATCGGGGTTCAACTATCCACCGAAAGTTCGCGGGCTCGAGTCCTAACAGAGCTTTGCGAGATGCAAGCCAACGAAGACCAGCATCCACGACCTGAAGATTAGTCGTCTCCATGAGACAATAGTAGAATCCAAGGTAGAAACGTCTGACCTAAGATAAGTTGAGGCTGAGAATAGAGTACAAAATCACTTTGCATAAAAAACCATACCAATGACTGAAAGATAACAGTTCTCAACTAAAAATGAGACTGCTACCATTTCTGAGGTAGCAGGCCTCCATCTGATTACAAAACCATTCAAGGGAGGATGCGTATTGGTAGTACCCGAAAGCTTCAGGTAGCATCTGATGAAGAACTAGGAGCTCCTGGGAAAAGAAGAAAGCAGTCTCTGGATTGTCCATTGCCTGAAGGGTTTTCTGAGATATCGAATACACAATAGAACGAAGTGTGATCAGTGAAACTGGCAAGCCTAAGTAGCACCATCTCACAGGGCTGGTTCACCGAAACTGTATCACATGAGTGGGTTTTGAATGGCACAGCTAAAACTGGCTGTATTCACATGATATTGGCTCAGCGGGAATCTGGGGACTAGGACAAGTGATACTTGTTTTTGGGTATTGACCACAAGATCGCACACCTGCCGATCAGCCTGGAAAGCAGTTGAAGTGAAGGGTAGCTTTTGTACTTATCTGTTTTTGGGGTTGTTGCCAGTCTGTTGACAACCAAGGACACTGGACGGTTCCTGACGTCAGCGATGGCAGCTGTCACTCTAGACTGCGCAGAGATTTTAAACCACCAAAAGGAAGGAAGCCGCGGAGTCAACAACGAACTAGGAAGAAAGAGAAACTCACCGAGCCATGGTAGTCGAGAGGTCCACCGTTCCAACACAGTGGAATTGGCTGTAGAAAGAAGCAAAATATTGAATGAAGCGAAATAAGACTGATTAAGTCGGGAAGAAATAAGTTCACCATTTAACACGAAAAAAATAGCGTTGTGTGCAGCGGATATCTTTCTATATAAAGCACTGAATTCCATCGACGACCCCCATTGTCTATTTTACTTCCGTCGTGGGAAAACCATAGCCGGACGGAGATACATTACGCAAAAGATGTTACTATCCTAAGGAGTCTGCCAAGAATAGCATTGAGATGGAGAGCTCTTGTTTCTTTCTCTATGAAATGACTGACCAACGTTTGTCAGGACTCGGAATGAAAGAGCCTGAATGGTTCACATGAATTGCATATAATTTCCGTTGCTTCATTCGATCTACCCGTACAAACCTAAAAAATGTGGCTGACTCCATTATATCGGCCAGGAGAGTTCCACTAAGGGGTGAAATGTGTTGTGTTGGGGAGCGCCTCAGAAGCTGGCTACAGCTTTTAGGTGTGCCACACGAAGGAGGCACGAGGGCTGGGATACTGCCAGTCTAGACAGGGGAAGTCGAGAGACAGAGGTCGGGTTTGAACCACGGACCGGTTAGTAAGTAAGTTCGCGCTCCAACCACTTGAGCCGACCCAGCAATGAGATCAAGCGATTATCAGTTTTACAAGACGATTAAATCGATCTGCCGTGACTTCATGCAAGCTACGTGGAAAGCAAGAGCAGGCAAGGTTGTCCGAACCTGGATGGTAGCGAAAGATCAGCTAGTGAGCTTCACTCTTTGACTCTAATTAGGGAAGTCCCACGATGCGGTGATTCTGCCTTTTGGGTGAAAGAAGGAAGAACAATCATTGGTCTTTTCGAAATGAAACCCCTTCTTCCATTCATGTTTAAATTAGCAGGTTAGCCTCCCCATCGGTCGTCGGTCTTTTGATGTTGTGCTCTCTAACTGGTCTCTAAGATCGTGCGATGATGAGATCAAATGACCGGGGGGTATTCTTTCAAAACAGAACGATTATTTAAAAGTATTGAGATTAGCTTCCGTCCCTGTTTGATATGTCTTCTTTCCTAACGTCGCTTCGATAATACAGTACGTTTACAGGTTGGACATGGCCTCCGTCTAGACCGCCTCTTTCTATGCTCACATCGGTATCAGTGGCCTGAAGTCACTCCATTCCCACAAATCCAGTCCCCTCTGCCCACACGACACCTTGCATCAGCTCCAGCTCATTAACTAGCTAACTCCTCAATCGCTGAATCTCCTGTCAATCATCAATCAGTAGCCATAACCAGTTTCGTGCATTTATTTAAGTTGACGACTAGTGCTGTTGCCATAGAACCACAACACCGGATCCGCCTCTTCAGTGACAGATGTGTTCGCGACCTTTCCCTCGCAAAATTCAACTTCTAGCGACAGTGCAAAGTTGAAAATCCTGCGGTTTGTGAAAGAAAATTCGCTATGGTCACCAGCATTTCTGAGGTTCTACACTCCTGTTCCTCTGTGCATCCTGATATAACATTTGACATTTTTTTAAAAAGAAATCTCAGTGTCCCAATCACATTGTAGACCTTGAACACCACGACTCCAACTGCCGAAATATCTGTGAATCCTGGCCTGGTGATCACCCTAGCTAGGTTATGTTACCATCAGCGCAGCTAACCAACTAAGTACCAGTCACCGTCATAATCATCATCGGCCCCATCGACAACACAACATAAGTGTTCAACACCGGTGTGTCGCTGCCGTAAAACCGTAATTTATTTGAAAGCCTTTTGCTGAACTAAAGAACAAAAGTGGATAGGGAAGAAATCTAGCATTAGCGTGGGTTGGGATTCTGCTAGGGCGCTCATACCTAGACAGAAGGATGACCAGGATCCCCTTCCAAGGCATTTGGTCCAAAAGCTTGACCGTAATACTGTTGGCAGAGGACTTCCAGAACTTCCAGGTCTACGTTTTTGAGATGCAGGTCGCCACAATTTTTTCAACCCCCAATCTACAGGACCATGAGACGGTTTAATCTGGACCTCTAGCTCCACCTAGTAAGAGAGGCCCTGAGTGTCACATATACACTCCCCAGTATACCTCAGTGGGGTCTATTCACTTCGTTACAGTACGTGCCAGTCAACCGGTGAGTAGTCATCTCGCTTAAGACACCGAGATTCAGACATTAAACATGGCCTTGGTCCATACATGCGTCATCAAAAATACATTATTTGATGGTTGCCTTTTTCTCTGCGACGTTTTTTTTTGTCTGCAGACGTTTCGTGATCCACCTCAGTCGTCTCATCAGCGTGTAGTTGTGGTCGAAGTTTTGGGTTCAGATACGTCCAGTCGATCGGGTGAACTCCATTGATGACTGACTGTTGGGACAGTTGATTGCATCAGTTTGTCCACTACCTCCGGTTCAAAAAAATATAGAATATCGTTCAGCTGTAACACCCTTCCTGCGCCTAGCTGCCATGCCACCCGAAGGAAGCACGGGGGCTGGGATACTGCCAGATTGCCTAAGCCTAGTCAAGGGAAGTCAAGGGGCAGAGGTCGGGTTCGAACCACGGACCTTCCGGTCAGTAGATCCGCACTCTAAACACTCGGGCCATTTGGCTCTCTACCCCCGGTTGGTCCAACCTTGAAACAAAATTGTCAAGCACGTCGAACGACCCAGTTCAGGACTAGACTAGGAGAAACATATGATCGTCTATATTAAACATTGGTTTAACCACTAGCGCTTCCAGCGACCGGTTGACGAATCCACCAACTTCAGAAACGTTGAGCGACCACATTTATACGCATTAGAGCACTCCGAATAAGACAAAATTATACAATAGATGTTCAACTTCGTATCAGCTGTACGCACCAAGTGATGTGTATGCCAGTACTTGCTCATACAGTGTATTGTCATTTGAGCTGTAAAGAGCTGCGATCCACGTTACCACATGTCCAAAAAGTACCGTTCAGTCTGATCGCCAACTGAACAACCCTAGTCATTGACGTTCTTTTCTTTATTGTTCAAAGCTAGTTGCCCGGTGGGGGGAGGCTTTGTTCTTGAAAACGGGTTTTCGAGGAATTTGGACTGTTGCGGACCCAGTGGAATCGAGGTGGTTTCCACACAAACATTGATGCACCGTCGTGTTCCGCTTCAAAACGATGCACTGATACTGCCACCTCGATTGTGAGGAATCGTCTGTAACCAAACTGCGTAGCTCGGTGAACGAAACACTGATCGGATAGTGATTTCGGTTAAAGAGCGGATAAAATTGTTCTTCTGTGAACCTATGAGAATGGTCAGAGCTACTTTGAGGGTTCCTTGAAAGGATGGCAGTCCCCTAGGGACACGAACCCACCCTACCTGGAAAGATCGTAGCTACAAAGGAGGCAGAAATATTCTTGTATTTGTACGCGATAGTTTGCACGTTGTCCAACGTTGTCATGAGACTTGGAGCAAAGATCAGTATGATTAACGGTAGTGGATATGGTAACACACTTTTACTGTCGTTTTCTCTCAAAATGTGCAACTCACGCAGATAGTTGGTCCACGGAATAATTTGTGTTTCGAGACATCCTGCTAGGCAGCGATTTCTCTGGTGATTCTCCGAGATTAAAAAAAATGAACTTGTGTCAGTGACCTCTGTGGCGGGTCACCACTGTCTTCTCTGCGGCATTTTGAAGCTTACATTAGGTTTAAAATAGACGTTAGGATGCTGACGTAACGTAGATAGGGATAGGCATGTGCACAGTGACGTTGGAACGCTTCCTAAGGTGTGCTGAGCAGGAAGTGGTGAGTACTTGTTTGCCAACACGGCAATAATCTTTGTGGTCTTACGCACTGTGTCGCTTGCCCTGCACGATTCCTCGCTAGCAGACATTCCGGTGAGTCACAGGCGCGCCAACGCAAATACCAAGAATCACGTGCACACGCAAGACAGACAGTGTGCACACACGCACACAAGCTGAGAAGGCAAGCCAACTTATCAGTATCAGTTATAATAAGGGATGAAAATCACCCCCACATTTCAATTCGCACCAGCTTTTTATGAAACGACAGACCGGCTGTTGTTGCCCAACAGGAAACTGGCTTGCAATGGAATTAGGTCAATAATCCCAACACCTCCCTCTGTCGTGAGTGGGGACAGGAACGATTGTACCTCACTCTCTTTGCGTATGATTTCGTGTGGTAAACATGTGAATACACCGACGATGCAATAGGTGATCAACAACCGAAAGATGGAAAAAAACATGTGTCATGGTCCAACAATCAATTTGTCCCGATGACCTCTATACGTTCGCTGTGTACTTGGAATTATGTAGATTTGCGTAGTTTGGAAATCATGTATCCTCACAGCGCCGAAGTGATTGCACGCGTTACGAAAAGTACCGCTGTGTCTTGTGTACGAAAGCATACTGCTTGTGTCATCACAGATCCATGCAATAATTCCAACAGCACGTGTTTGGTCATCCTTGACGGGTGAAAAGAATCCATTTTATGGCGAACCTGACACATCATACTACTCATAAACCGAGGCCTATCATACATTTCTCATCAAACGGAGGATTCCCTTTAGAACTTTGAATAGTGCGATGAGAATGCGGAGGTTGGTAGTTCATATTGTCTTGTTAGCAATTGATAAAAAAAACTGGATTGAAAACTACTTTCAAAACAAAGTTCATCACATGATTACGGGTCCGTCTATTAGGGAAATTTAGCAGCGCCCACAGCAGACCACGGTCTAAGCGGCAGCCTGAAGGAGATGGATCTTGTCGGACTGCAGTTCAAGAGCGGCTACCCAACCGCAGCCATAGCGTACAAATTACGGGCTGTAATCGGTCGGATGTACCCAACCACCCAAGTCACCGTGCCCCCATCAACGAAGAAACAAGTCAATGGGCGCCGCATACTGTACTCAATCTCTCTCCTTCACACCTTGTGTACCGATTCATATGCAGTTACAGTAAAATATGTATTGGCAGAACAGACAGCAGCTTATGCCAGCGCGTATCAGAACATCTGCCTCGTAATTTGCATCAAGTGACTAACGAATCGACCGATGACCTGTAGGCCTGTAGGAACTGCCTCATCGATCGCCAAACACATTCTACTCATTGGAAGTCGCCCCAGTGCAGCGATTAGAATTTTACTTCGTTATGTCAACTAAAAATGTTTACTTTTCAGTGAGGCCACGTTTGTTAATCACTACCGTTCCAGCTCACAAGAGGACGTAACACAAGCTATCAGCTTGTCTCTGACCTGAGAACCATACCTGATCGGCCCACCATACGATTGGTTCCATTTTAATGTCTTATTACTATCTAGTCCCACTTATAGGACCGGAAGGTTAGTGGTTCTAAAACAACCTCTGCTCCTGTCTACGCTTGGGCAACCAGGTAGCCCCCGTGCCTCCTTTCATTGTCATCGCAATTAGGCACCGAAAGGGTGTTACAGCTGAACGCGTCCTACTTATGGTTGCGAATGAGGGGACAAACGTGAAATGTCAGCATCCCACAGCCTTTGACTTCCTACTGTATTACTAAAATGGATACAAATGACCCGAGCTCGAAATGGTCAAAACACGAACTTACTGACTGGAAAGCCGATGGTTCGAACCCAACCCCGGCATCTCAACTGCTCCTGTCTAAGCTTGAGCAATCTGGCAGTATCTCAGCCATCATGCTTACTTCGGATAGCATGGAAGCTAGGCAACGGAAAGGTGTTACAGCTAAACGGTTATTAGAAAAGTGACCCAGTGTTTTAAATGTAACCGATTTATTGAATCGAGCTCAGTAAACCTCAGAACACATGAATTTCGGTGGTGAAGGGGAATAGTACATGCTTATGTGGGATTTACTCGTGAATCGATTGGTCTTCGTTATGCGTTCAGAAACACGAAAGGTCACATTTTGGTCCAGTTAGCTGACCAATCCGATCCGTCGTTACGTGATAAACTTTGGTTTGAAAGTTGTAATAAGACCTGTCCATTGCAACTATCGTTCCCATGGCTAGAATCCCCTAGGATTCCAACTCAGCAACCCCTTATCCAACAACTGCCTTTGCAGCGACCGACAACCTTCCAAAATACAACCAGTCCCCCAAAAAGGCCAAATTATTCCCGTTTATTTGAGATTGTAGTGGGGAGCGAATGGGGTTTCACTGCCTCATCTCGATTGAAACGTTTGAGATCGACTGCCAGGTCAAGTAAGAGTATGGAAATTTTAACACACTGATGAGAGCCTAACTGAACAGTGATCATCTAAAGCCATCTGGAACGCGGGTAGCAGAGAGGACGGGAGCTGGAAAAACATTGACTACATACCCAGGCGATCAGAACGATTGAACGAGTAATTTCCAGTGAAAGCCTCACAGTTGATTTCGTCGGCCGACACCGACGTTTGATGGGGGTTGCAATCCGGCAAACTATCACATCGCATTGTGGCCGGAACACATGCGTCTTGGTCTACTGCGGACCTGTCTGAACGGGCAGCTTGACGCACAGCGCTTGGAGACGTACCGGACGGAGTCAACGAATCGCACCAAAATCCGGAGAAAAACTCACAAAGAACTCGTTCTGTAAAAGAGGGAGAGAGAAAGCATTAGTTTGTTTTTCGGTTTCCATGTAAGGAAGATAAAAAGAGGTTTAGATCCCTCCTTGTTAGGAGATGCCATGCAAAAACATCAACTGATCGAACATAAACACCTCATCAAAATTCTTAGCCACGTGTTCTCGAAAAAGTTTGGTGACAATCGGTAGATTTATTGCTGGGCAACGTTTCGCTTTTGACACAAAAGCTTCGTCAGGCCAAGTGACTAGGTTCCGAGGTTGATCGAGATTTAAGGCGGAAGGAAAACCAATCAGCTAAGTCAAGCTAACTCTCTGTTGGGTGTCGGTCGAGGGATTTTGGTGTGTTAGAGTGGTTGAACAAGTGTTGGGTCGGTGGGGAAACCTACGTGTGTTTGGGTTCAGCCTAGGGTCTAGTTCTTCTGGTTCGGTTCATTTGATGATTCCTCTCGAACTTCGTTTGAGCATTCTGTTAGTCTGTGTGAGTAAGCCACGTGGTTTGTTAGGCCGAGCTGGTCTGTCACGCAAGCTGTGAGGCGACAACCAGCAGAATGAACTGTGGCTAGGATTAGAGCAGTCCTTCCTTGAAGGACTGCGGTGGGCGAATAGCTAGTAACGTTCGGATGCCAGCCGCATGCGTCAGGTTGAGAAAGCGAGAATCGTTCCCTCTAAGCTTACGTGGTGAGTGTGTACAGGGACGGAAAGTATCATGTTGCTGAGCTTCTTCAGACCTGACCGCAGTTTTTTCATTAATTAAAAAGAAACTATTTGGTGTGGCCACTTTAGAAGGGTTGTCCGATGGTTTTTCGTTCCTTTTCACATCTGGTATCTGATCACACACACACACACACTAACTGAAGTTGAATTATGTGATACCCGACATTCAACAGTTGTTGAACGAGTAGTTCAACTACACAATGGCATTTCGTGTCTAAGTCTGACCAAATTGGTAGCCACCGTGTTGCTAGTTTCTGACGTTAAGACAGCTACGCATCGTCATGGCTGGACAATTGGAAAAACCTCCCAAAAATGATGATGGTAGAAATTCAGAGATGCTAAATCTTGGGAAAACGATAGTTTTGTTTCACCCAAATCGTGCGTTTGCATTAGACATGAGACATGGTCCCTTTGGAAGGAGTAATACATTGCAAAGCAACTCCACAGGTCGTTTTTCACTCTCAATTTCATTCTAATTGTACCCTGCTCCAAGGTGATAGAAATGAAACGGCGTAATGGATTTTCTCTTCGGTTGACCTAGCTACGCAAGTCCTTACTGGTCGAACGTATGTGCAGGTTATCGGAACCGGGACAAGTAGCCAACTTGAAGGCTTCGACCTCGGGTCGTCAAGATCCTATCCAGCCAACCATCGGGGTCAACCACAAATGATATTTTGACCTCAGATACATGCTGCGCTTTTCGAAGGACAGATACTGATCTCGTCAGGAAGGAAATGTCCCAATTTGTGTGCCAAATTAAGATGGAGCTCATCAAGCAGGTGCAGTCCCCGAGTTTCTCTCAACCTTATGTTTCACCTGAACCCAAATTGCACGAAGTTAGTGAAGTACGCTCACCCGCATACCAAGTTGGTTTTCGCGGGATATCCAAGTGATGAGTATCAAGAAAGGCGAAATCAGCCACGGACTGCGAGGGAGTTTCCAGTAACCTTATGAGTAGCGTGTTACGTCCGTACAAGTTTGCTTTTTGGTCGTAATATACGACTTACTTTCGTTTTTAATTGCGATAATATATGGCTACGTGGAGCGCCAAAGCTGTAATGTTTGCCAATCTGTCGGAGTTTGGAAGTCGCCTAGAGCAAAAGAAGTCGAGTGACAAACTCTCGAGTCGTAAAACTGCAGCTTAATAAATGGTCTGCTTCAAGCTCTAAACATGTGGTGAAGATGTTTTGTTGGGTTTGTGGACGGTTGACGGTGGTGTGATCAACTCATCCAAATGGCACGGAAACAAAGAAGCCCCTATATAAACTCCATCCTGACAGAGGCACCCTCACACTTAGGATTGGTATACTTGGTTACTCTGAATTTCCACCAGAAAGTGGCCCCCTCGCGTAGTCAAGGTCTCAAAAGAGCCAGTTCCTCATTAGAAAAGTGCGAAATCCGTGAGTCAGGTATTAAATAAATACCCGATTGCTCGGGTTTCAGACAGTCTTGTTCACGAGGCGGCTTTTCGGCTGTAAAATATCATATTCACCTAAACAGAGAAAAATGAAAAATGCATTAGATCATGGGTGACTAGATACAGGACGTTTCCTGTAGACTACTTAAAAGTCTAGAGGGTGTCTCTCAGATTAGGTCTGACTGACAACCAGTACTGCAACAAGCAGTATCAACAGGCTCCTCGAGTGCGACAATACACGGGTATTGGGCTTCTGACTGACGGCCATGGGACCTCAAAAAAGGGAACCGATTTCAGCTGGAATATCCACGAAGGTTCGATAGGACCGATTTCACTATGTATGGGTAGATTCATACATAGAAACACTATGATTGGATGCATAGGTCCGTCGGGATGTGTTGTGCCATCCGGTGTGGTAGGTCGTTCTTACATGAAAGAATCTAAGTGTAAAGAAGTAATACACAACTTATAAGGTTGCTGCGAACTCTTCAGCAAGAGACATTCATCTGGATTCCAGATGAGCCTCCCGTCAAAATCAGGTTGATACGCAGGTGAGTAAGTGCAAGTGTAATTTAAAGCCTGTGGGTGCTGCACGTTAGTCCACTCAAACTTTGCTAGACCGAAGCCCCTTCTGAGGTGAAATCAAACAAGCAAACTTATTTGCCGAACTCCGCAACCATGTTACTGACGGGTTCGGTCTATGAACTATTTTGGGTGAACTTTGTGGAGCCGTGTCGTTTGTGTGTCAGGCAACTCTCTATCGTTCACCATGGTAACAAGGCTTTGAAAGACAAAAGAGCTCTTTAGGTACAGATGGCCTTTGTATCACCATATACTATGATATCGTCATCTGGAGTTATAGTTTTTTCAATAAATTTTTACTTGACGGTAAGTTGAATTGTTCTCCCCAGAATGAAAACTCTTGGTCTATTCTTCCTCTGTGACAGCACCGTAACTCAAAACGACCAAGATACTGTGGCCGACCAAAGCTTTGATATACAGTGTGCTGCCGTTTCTAAGGTCTGTAAACAATTACCATGTCTCAGCTTGAGACCTTTCCTCATGCAACAATCAAGATGAGATAACAGGACGTGCTGTTTTGCAGCAGTCACCGCGACCAAATACGACCAACTGGCGCAATCCATAAAGATCAGGAGGGAAAGTTACCTACGTGATTGTATGGTTTCCACCATTCTAATCACTGGACTTTCTTTAACCGAACGTCCTCTTTCATTTTGCTGTGCTTCACGCGTCCGTAGTAGTAGATCGGGCACAAAATATCGATCTCGCGGTCACAGTGTTTACCTAGTTTATTCAGTGGCTATAACTCCAAAGTTCGCGCGGATGCTCAAAATCGATGAGAAGCACTGGAGTTGACTTCATGAAGTACAAAGAGATGCAGGAAGTATGAATAAGCTAGCACATATTGGACGGCTTTGGGTTTCAATCAACAATCACAGCATCGATTGATACAGGAGACGCTTAATTGATGCCAAACTATGCAGCTGGAAAAACACGAGCCGCAACAAACAACCCGTAGTATGATGCGGAAAAAAACTTAAACCCATGGTACAAAAGTAGTTGGTTCTATGTATGCAGCTGGATAAACACGAGCCGCAACAAACAACCCGTAGTATGATGCGAAAAAAATTTAGACCCATGGTACAAGAGTAGTTGGTTCTATGTATGGATGAATTGTACTGGTGAAAAGAAGAAAACCTTCGCTGCGGAGCTATTTATTAGAAAATGCCAACTGAGCAGTTACAGACTAGTGGACAGGGAAGCAAAACTCTCATTTGCATCTTGTTTACAAAAGTAAAATATCCATTTTCTCCTTGAACGCGTCTTACTGGAGTCTCCTGGATATTCATTGACTGTTGCTCAAATGCAAGCAAATGCGACTCCACACATTCCGTAATAGATCCCACTTTTCAAGAGACGCGAAGCGAATTTACGAGAAAACATACTACTCGCATGCCCCCATCAGCAGTATCACCGTTACACTGGTGGCTCACTATCGACCAGACGTAGCTAGTGACCATAGATCGTTCAATACGTTTACGTATCCCAGACCAGAAACCGGTAGTTTTTTGGTGTGACGTTGATCAGAGCGCAACAGCCAACGCTATGTTAGCTGATAAAGTATGTAGCTGGGCCACCAACCTACGCTCTCGCTGATGCCACTCGACCTTTTGTTATAAACATGTGTAACACGTTCGATATTCGAACACTGTGGTTCAGTCTTCAACTTATACGTATAGGGCGTTTTACACTCGTGAGCGAACGAAATAGCTGAAATGTGGACATCTCAAGGACAATGCTAATGTATTTGACGTTTCGAAGAAAAACAACGCAGCCGGTCTGGTGTATACAACAGAAAAGCATTATTGACTTGAAATTTACAAATACTGATGTAAGGGATATCAAGGGGAAACCCGAAATCGTATGCTAGTTGGTTTGGTGGTTTCAAGATCAAAGAAAGAGAGAAACGAAATACCCCATTCCCTCAGGAAAATTCAAATATCGTGAGTTAAATCTTCTTAAACCTACTTCTTTCTGATGAAAAGTTTCCATGGAACAACATCCTGGAAGTGATTCGAATTCGAACGTTGAGTTCCGGGGAAAGAAGCTCCGGTGGTTGTTGTGGCCCCTGCAGGTCTTCTGCCGTGCTGCCATTTTCCACTGATTCAGAGGGGGAATGTGATGCGACCAGCGCACCTCTGAGGTTCCAGGTGACTTTGACTCGACGAACATAACCGGAAATATGCGCCGCAACCACTTGCTTGCCATCGGAGCAGTTCAGTTGCAGAGATTTATCAGGCTATATGCGAATTCAATGTAAATGGATAAAATTAAACATTTATACTACTCCTATTTACGAGTAGTCTTTAGAAAATTAGTTACAAGGCAGGCTAAGGCGGCGAGGGAAATTCAGTTTCAGACCGAGAATTACTGCAGCTTTTGCGTGAGAAGAAACGCCGAAGAAAATAAGGCGAGTTTCTGTTCGAAACAGACAACGAATTCAGACTGAACATGCTGCTGAGAGATGTGGTATTCTAAGCAGGCAATGAGAGGCACAAGCGTACATAAGCTGGGTCAAATGCGGTGTAAAAAATAGTCAGAAAAACAAGCATTCTTTTGATCAAAAACCGTCTGCAACTAATAGGCATCCTTTCCGGTGCCGCACCGCATTCTAGAAAATTAGATCAGATGGGACATGTGTGCGTAGATATCGCGGCTCACTGCAGGGAACACTGTCCACTGCAGTTGGCAGCCCACCACTCTAGAAAGACCTTTAGCCGAATATACCCCCTTGACCTCGTCGTAGTTCTGTAGATTTGTCTATAAACATACCTGTCTGGAAGTATTCAAGTCCACGCCGAAAACGGGCAGTATTCGCCCAACTAACGTCAGATTCCAGCAAAATTTACTCCATTTGAAATAGAACGTTCACTTGTTACCTGTAAGGCCATTTGGCACTTAAAACGCCGCTTGATGCGAGTAAAAGTTGCTCATTTGCTATGAAGTAAACCAAGAAAGGTACAACCGATAAATAGCAGTCAGTCGACAGGTGTTCCTGGACGACAGAGCAATCTTGACTGCTTTATCGACTAAGATTGTTGCCCGTTGATAGGAACGGTGAAAATGGAGCTTTAACGAAAACGGAGCAGATAACCACGTACCGGCAAGAGAATCACATTTAGAATCAAATTAAGCAGAAATTGATCTCAAAAAGGATCAGCAATAAGAACCCACCTGCGCGACTTTGGCAGTTGTCGCGTGATTCGCTCAAGAAAGCCGGCATATGATTCACTGACTGGTACATATGGATAACTTTAGACGTGGCTCACTTTCAAATCCGGCTAATCGTTTGCAGAGGGTGGACACATCAGGTCAGATACCTCAAAAGGAAGAGAATTCCACCGACACATTACAGCTCAACCCTTCAGAACAGACTGATGAAAGATATGTTCTTGACCTAATCCCGAATTTGTTTCCTTCCCGAGGACATATTTGTTTAAATTGCACCGGCCAGTGAATTCCACTTGTTTTATCCTCGTTTCACTACACATTGGAAAGTCAAGTCCGAGCCCCAAAACGGACGAGAAACAAATTTGGATGCCCCTAGTAGTATGATGTGATAAATGCTAAATTTTGCCCATACCTCTTGATTATCAGATAACGATGACAATCGTTCAGCTGAAACATCCTTTCGGTGCCTAGTTGTCACGCCACCCGAAAAAAGCAGGAACAGTTGATATATATGGGTTGGATTCGATTCACGGACCTTCCGATTGATAAGTTCGAGCCTTAACCATTGAACTAACTTGAACTTATCTGCTTTAAACTACGCATCAAGGGTATAGTGTTACAGTTCCGGTCACCGTTAGTTGGACTAGCTCAGACACTTAATTGGCATGGCAACTTAGTTCCAACTTCCGATGTCAAACTTTCTGCACAGCAAGAAGAGAGCGTTCCGCACTTGTGTGTGCAAGTTGGGTCGAGAACCCTCCGAGAAACTCACCACAGCGTTGTAGATAATTGGATGCGTGGACTCCTGATCATGTGACGTCGACCCTCCGGAGATCCAAGGCCCACCTGCCCATGGATGAGGTTCCATCCATTGGTCTATCTTAATAGAATAATTGTTCAGCACTCGGATGTCCCTGGAACACGTCAGAGTTGCCTCGGCTCTCAGAAGCCAGAAAGATACCTGAGTAAGGGAGAGGAACGCACAGTGAGTAAGATGAACTTTTTTGCACGGCTTGCTTTTCGTTTCACCATATTTCACTTTGAAAGAATAAACTCTGAATGGTCACCGACGTAGAAAATGGGATTGAAAAAGATGTCGTTCAGCTATACCACTTTTTCGGCGCCTAGCTGCCATCCCAACAGAAAGAAGCACTAGGGCTGAGTTACTGTCAGTTTTCGAAAATCTAGACAGGATTAGTCGAGATGCCTCGGTAAACCACATCGGTGTTCACAAACAATCCCTTGCAGAAACTGATGATACCGTGTTGACAATATCGGCGTCCCAAATAGTGCAGTTTTCACAATAATACTACCATTGTGCATATCACGCTGACACGATAACTTGGGGGCGAGATGGACCAAGTGGTTAGACCACAAATTTACTGACCGAAGGTCCGTGGTTCAAACCCGACCTCTGCCACTCGACTTCCCCTGTCTAGGCTTGGGCGACCTGGCAGTATCCCAGCCCTCGTGCCTCCTTCGTGTGGCATGGCAGCTAGGCAACGAAACAGTGCTACAGCTGAACGATTTTTATTATTTTTTACCCTCAGTGATCCTAACCTTGGTATTGATAGGTGCGCTGCAACCTTATTTTCAACGCTTGTGTTAAAAGAGGGAGAACTTTCGAGAAATGGGAATACATTCACTACTTATACCTCAACTTCACTAGGATGGTGAAAAAGGTGGACTTCACGCGATACCATGTGAACCAGATCGCCAGTCAATTTAGCAAACTCTGACTTGATTCGATGCTGTTAACCAGAAAGGGATGAAGAAGTTCGACTACACTAGATCCAGTATTCATGAAAAAAATCAAAATCGTTCAGCTGTATCACCCTTTCGGTGCCTAACTGCCATGCCACCTTAAGGTTGCACGAGGGCTAGTATACTGCCAGGTTGCCCGAGCCTACACGTGGAAGTCGAGAGGCAGAGGTCGGGTTCGCACCACGAACCTTCCGGTCAGTAAATTCGCACTCTAAACACTTGGTCCATCGATCGGAGTTACTTGTGTGTCTTAAGATTAATTGCCCTGAGCCTTCGGTAGGGAGTACGGAAAAGCTGTGATGCTTCACATTGTTTGGCTTCTAATAATAACCAGAATCTCCAAGTAATTGTATATATTGGAAAGCTCCACAAAGTAAACACAGAAAGCCTTTAGGTCGCCAGAGAACTTGAATGCGAAGCAAAACAAAGGGGAACCGCTCTCGTTTTCTTCAAAGAGTTGGCGAATCCAGTTTTGATCATAATCTGCTGGGATAAATCTCAAGAACGCAAATGTAACTAGTATAAACAGCCGGGACCGCAGCAGAACACAAAACACTCAATTCGGAAACAAAAAGCTTAAATGAACTGCCAGGTGGCTAACTACGCGTGGGTGTATAATCTGGATATTTCATTGGCCCTGAATAGGTTGAAAGAACTGGGGCAGTCTGAGTTGTTAAGCTATATAAGGGTAATGGCAATGATTTTCGATTAATCCCGAAACCATAAACAAATCCAAAGTGACATTTGAACGTTTCCTAAGAATGTGGTCCATGGATCAGGTGCATTATTACTTTATTGGTCAGCCTCCAGTTTACCTTAACTTGTGTGCTCTTGCTTGTTTATTTGCTGATAGCTCGTCAGACTACCTCCACAACAGGAAAAACCTTTTTTCGTTTAGACTGTGGCTCGTCTTGAGCGCTTCATACGCGATATGATATGTATGGTCTGGTTGCGCAAACACCTCGGAGCAGCGACCCCAAATATATCACCGTTTTGTTTTTCAATAAGTCAGCTAGTTTATTTAAAACTACAAAGACATGCAATTACGGTTGCCGCGTCACGTGCTGACCACGTGTCCAGATCACCTTACTTGTAATAAACGGCAGAAAAGCATCAGTGTTTGCTACAAATCTTGCTGTTATGACTAACACGATAAAAGGTAACTTGATACGAGAAGCCAAGTTTCCTCCACTGAATTTGATTCGGTACATGAGTTAGTATTGATGGTGCCCCGGATTTGTTCAATATTTTCTCCATGAACCTCCGAAATCTCCAATACTATGAACGTTTTCAGAAAAAATGTTAAGAACGACATAACGCATTTTACAAATCAAGATCCTCAGGGTTTTGCCACCCTATCAAACTGCACACGACCCACTGTGGTGATACTGTCTCCCAAAGTTCAAGGAAGCTTTCAGAGGGACAATATCGTGTCCTGTTGGGGACTACCGGTTCAGTCACTGGTATTCCGCCAATCCACATGAAACAAGGTACGGCAATCACAGTTAGGTCAGAAAGTTAGTGCAGTCGAAAAGTTAGCGCAGTTCGAACAACAGTAAACCCGATGGCCTATTTTTATTCAAAACGTATTACAATATCATACTATATATTATAAAACATGTCACTATCATCATCTGGTGCCTAGCTACCATGTCGTTTGAAAAAAGCATGAGGGTTGAGATACTGCCAGATTGTCCAACTCTAGACATAAGCAGTCAAAATGCAGAAACCGGATTCCAACCAAGGGCCTTTCGGTCAGTAAGTTCGCGCTCTAACCAATGAGCCATATTGCTTCCCTATACTAAGCCACTCTCCTCATCCCAACGACATCCGATTGTCATCCTCTTCATTGTCTCTAATTGCGTAGCGTCCTTCATATATGAAGCCCATGTGCGGACGCTATATTTCAGGTGAGGGTGAGCGGGAGCACGGTATAAAAGTATCCGAACGCCAACACGGCAGCTAGCAATCGATCTCTCCGTGTGATAAAGCATTTTGAGATTTCTGAACAGCAGCCGAACAGCGAAATGGTTTGAATTTCCGATCGGCAATAAACCTTAGATGTCGGGGTTTCCTTTTTTCTCGCATTATCAAACTGAGCCTCTGCTCGTTCTCGTCAGCGCATGAGAATATGTGTACACTTGAGGATGTTTAATGGAGGATCTCAGGACTTAGACTCCTCCACTGCAATAAGAACGTCTCGCTAAACAGTTGAACCATTGCGCGACCATCCTATTATCTCCATGTTGTCCGTATAGAGGAACGATTCGTGTTCACATCGCTCACATCTGAACAGTTCGCCTCCCGTCTTGTTGCAGTTATTTAGGCGAGTCCACACCAAAGGTGGACAGCACTGGACTAAAATTGTTGATCCTCCACGTGGTTAACGTCGCTCCAACACCGAAGGAGTGAGGAGAGGTGGTCAACGAAGCAATTGCCGAGCCGGAATCCCACTTGCTTCTCTGTCAAGCATAAGGCTACAAAGGACAAGTGACACCAAGAATCTCCGTACAGCTGAAGTCATGCCGACCGCTGTGACTACTGCACTCACTAGTCGGTTCTCTTCTGAAAATGGACAGTATTACCAATTCTCCCAGTTGTCTGAGAAGATGAAGGCAAACGGTCAGACAGGCGCTGACCGAGAAGTTCACAGCATGTTTGAAAAATGCGTGCAAAAAAATCATCTGGACAAGAATTTCGGTGGTGCTTGACAGAACACATGCAGTCACAACTCTCGGAAGCCGCGGGGGATTCAAGTTCACCTTGAATGGCCATACTACAAACTGATACTACGAGTGAATAGCAGCAGGTGGCCTGAGAATTGTGGTTAACGTTCTCGGCCCAGAGGTCAAAGCGTTACGCTTTGTACGGGGTGGTCGTGCCAAATCATCCTCGGTGGTCTCACCCACCAACTTCAGGAAGCCGACGGTGCGGGATAACGAGGTGATCTCCGGAGATTCCTGCATTTCCGCGCCTCTTCCGTGTGTGTCAGGCTTCATGGGTGGGTGCGCAAGCTAAATATGACTTGACGCTTGGTAACCCTTGGGCTGTGTTACGTTCCGGCAGGAACAGTTCGCCAATATTCAGTCAGTGCCACTGCTCTGTCTGGTATCCATTGCTTGAGAAGAGCTTGCAGCAGGTAAAACTGTCGGCACTATGCAAAGATGTAGCGATCTCATTTCAGTGCAAACTAACGTCTGATGGTGAAGTGAGCCCAGAAGACTATTTCGATAGATTTGCAGAAATTCGAGATCTTCCAGGCCGTCTTGATCAAACCATTTGTTTGCCCCTACACGGCCGTGGAAGACGGCAATAGAAGTGGAAGAGCGCATCGTCAGAATCTATACCGGTTCCAGAAGGAGCAGCAGACATTCATCGATTCTCGCCATCGGTAACTGATGGTGATGTGATCAGTTTGGGTCCGTGACTGGGGAATAACATGTAACCAGACGACTTCGGTTGTTTCAAAAGTTGGTGCTGCATAAACGTCTGCTGTCAGTAACTAGCTAAAGTAGTCATCCTCGCTTTTCGTACATGCCAAGTCAACTACCCGAATGCGTCCCAGGTGCAATATGTCTGCCCATTTATGTGTTCGGCTCTCCGGCAACTACAACGATATTTTGACTTCTTGCCCGCCTTAACAGGGCACGCAAGGAGTCATAAAGATTGCCTTTAACGGCTTCAGAGCTACAGTCTTTTGGACCAAAAGAAAACAGGACAAATAGAAAGTGGTCAACCTTACGCTTGCGAGACTGCTTCACACACGTCGCCAGATGAACCTCACAGAGGCGACTGTTCACGGGTACTCAATCAAAGAAGTCTTTCTGCTCGATGATTCAGAACAATGCCTCCTCCTGCACATCCTGCCACGACGGCCTCTGGCGAGCCAGAAACGGTGAGAAGCAAGTGGAGCGTGGTGGCGCATTCAGCTCAGACATTGTGCCTGCATCATGAATTCTTCTCCTGATACACAACATACACCAACATCAAGCAAGTCCAGAGAGGGCTTATTTTACTTCTTGCTTCAGAACACAAAATTAAAAGCAACCGGGTAGATATGGTATCCATGCTTGAAGATTTATTTCGAAATACACGAGACAGTCGGCATCAGCTTACGCGTAGATGTTGCGGCCAAGACCGTGCAAGATTAACGGGTTCGTCAGTCCTAGCGGATGGGCCAACATGTAAAGCTTCATGAATGGGGTGGCTGGAGGGGAAGAAAAATATGTGAAATGGGTAGAGGGAAGGAGTCAGTAGTACGCAGCTGTACGCAGCAAGTGGGACGAGCCGGCTGATGTGGCACGAGTGCATTGTTAGTTATATATGTCATGGTTGTACGTGGACTGGGGATATTTTCAGAGCGCTCACACCTAGATAGGGTTAGGATCCTCAATCAAAGCCTTTTTCTTGAAAGCCTGCCCACTAATCAGTGGTGCTTGGCGGGAAATGTCAGTGCATTACAAGTTTCAAAGAACAAGTCGTCACAAATGTTTCAACACCCAACCTAGTGGACCAGTAGAATGCTTTGGTCAGACCTGTAACCACTGACCAACCTGCTGCGAGAAACTGAAAGTGTCGCAAGGACGCCTCCAGTCGCAGAGACAAACCGCCACAATAGGGTAAAGGCCCCCTCTTTTCGTGACTGGTTATGGAACAAACGCCCAGAAGGAGCTATGGGTGCCACAGTAGTTATTCCCCATAAAAAATGTTTGACGAGTGCGAGAAAGCTTGTTTGACTGATAAGCTGTGGTGGTTTACGAGGGTTACAAGCAGGCAAACGGACATATGATACAATATCCAAACCCTTCCTAAATCTAAGTGCACTGAATTGCAATTCGACTAAAAAGCTGTCGTATGATGAGCAGTTACCCCTAAATGGCCCTCGCTTCACTATTCCCTTTGAGTAGCAGCGTACTCTCATCTTTTTATGCTGAAGCCCGGTATTACTTGCGAAATGTTTGATCACTTTGGAGACTTTGACAGCTTGCGCTTGATTTGCAAGCAAGTCAGTGAAGGCTTACCAAGGGAATAGGATATAGGAGGAAGAAGATATCTAGTCTGCGGTCGATCACAGATAAGCTCGGGTTATTTTCGGATGAATGAGTATGCTGCACGGCAACTGACAAGCCAGAAACTTCTTCCGAAACGAGACTAGGTTGGACGGAGCATGAATTGTCTGCGGTTGATGCAGTTACCCACTGTGCCCAATACAAGTGCCACCCCGTTTGGTGTGGAATTTCCTCTACGGATTCCGATGTTAACGCGCTGCTATTGATAGGGTTGAATCACATCTTGATGGGCAGCTCTGTTGAATTTGACTCGGCATCGTTTGAAACTGCGAAAGAAGCGAGTCCGTATTAGAGATGCATTAGGAGAACCAGTCTATTCGCTCGGAGCTAAACAAGCATATTGAACCAAACCACGTACTCCCGTCGCTTAAAAAACCGTTTAGATAGTCAAAAGTTGGTGCTTCAACTTTGATCAGGGACCAAACAGAACGTCATGTATGTATGGAGTCACTTTGAACAAAAACAGCCTAAAACACTGGTCTATTTGGAATTCATTGAAGAAAAAGCCGGGAAGAACACCTTAAAAAATTCGGCAAGGCTTACCATTCCTTCAGCCAAGGTCCGCTGCACGAATCGCCCAGATGGGCGAATCAGAATACCAGAGCATGCACCGAACAGAGACCGGGTAGGTAGAGAGTAATTGCTGTTCAATGGTTCCACCGCGTTCCCCGGCCACATCATGACAAGCTGTTCATGCAGCACGATATCGTCAACGCCCACTTTAAGCAGCGTCGGATGATAATCATTTCTTCTACATGCGGGGTCATTTTCTAGTAAAATAGTATCTGTGACTCTCCGTTATATCTGTTTATATCGAGCTTACAACTATCAGGAAAAACAGCTGGAATGAATATAACGAAAATAAAGTATTTTGCGCCTCCTGGTACCATCCGTACATGAGGGGTCGTCAAGTCTACATCTTCACACGATTTGGGAAAGTACTTTTAACTTGTGCGCCTCTAAAGTTCATGCATTGCGTTCAATGGATCAAATATAGTTCCAGTAGATTCGGAAGGAGTGTACGTCAGTACAAGCCGGACTGGAAACCGAACAAGCGCGATACTGCTTTCACGGCCACAGTGACAGCTGAATTAGGGGAAATAACCGTCCCTCGCCCTTGGCAGTTGTGAGGGATGATGACGTATGCAAAATTAAAATAAGGTTCAACGTGCTAGGCAGAAAGCAATCCGGTATATGGACCTAGGTTGTATTATAAAGTGGAGTTACTGTAGATCAACCTCCAGGGAAGTTAGTTGACTGGTCATCTAGTTGAGAATAACGGAGATCTGTCAGTGGCTGATGATACAATGCCATGTTAGATCCGATATAAAGCGAGGCCTTTGCTAGTGAGAGTTGGGTCGAACCCTGTAGATAAAAAGACGAATCTGCGCAGTCTTCTAGCAAAGAAATTTCCTCGAGATTTGCCATTTTTAAGTTGTCTGCTACCGATGGAGAGCTGTTATGGGAGCGGACCTGGCTAGGGAAGTGGTGGTCCTTGAGGGGTGTCGGGGCACCGCGGGAGGCAGGGAATGCGCCCGTGGGCAAAGGGATAAATGACTTGCACAAGAGCAGCTGAGAACAGGGCACAAGTACCTTCCTCGAGGACATTTTGTGAAATGGAATATGCAGGGGGGAATGACTCCTCCCTGACCTACCGGGGCATCCGTTCTAGAATAACCCTGGTGGTTGATTTCCTGAAACAGGGTGAAAAACTATCAGCCACCCTCGGAGTAAGGGAGTGTACATGAGACACTGTGATGAACATGGCTGATCCTCTATTTATTGCTCTATTCATTTTTTCCTTGTTTTAGTATTCCATATGCTGCACATATATGCAAATTCGAATACATACATGCTACTTGTTGCGCTGATCTGAATTCTGGATTACTAGTTCGTCTGGCTATTCCGATAAACGTACGAAACTTAATTCTCACAGACACCCATGAGGTTTGCAACATTCTGGAAGGAGCACACAGAGAGGCTTTCAATCCTATTTCTGGCAAAGAGGATTTACCGAGCGCAGCACCGAACACTTAGTATTAGGTTGCACGTGTTGGCGAATTTGGCGCGCAGTTTCTGTCAGCAGGCCGCGAGAAACCGCCCCATTCTATGTGAGTGTACAGAAGCGCTAAATAAGGTACGATATGGTAAGACTGACCATTTTGGGTAAGTTTCAATTAGGAGGCGACTGAATGGGGATTATTTCGAGCAATCCCAAATCCTTATGATCGGAAATTACGGGAAAAAGGACGATGTCTTGCAGTGGTGGGTGTTAATTACGTAACGTAATTATTTGTTTCCCTATTCCTCAGGCTAATTCATCACCCTTCCGTGACTGCCCAAGGTTCAAGACTGAACCGTTCTATTTTATACAGAGCCGACTCTACCTCAACCATTTCTATAGACGATTTGTTTACATTTATCCATGGACTTGCTGTTGAAATTTTGTTCCATTTTGAAATAAACAATTTTCCCGCTTAATTTGTCCGATAACACGCTGCCCTCCGTGTGCCGTCCTGTGTTGCTGACTGCCCAAGGTTTAATCTAGCCGTAAGCCTTTCTTTAATTCTCCTCACGATTTACTGTTAATTTCCTAAGAACCACGGTCTACCTATCTGTACTCTCTGCCCAAGTCCAATTCAATATATTGTACACTGCCCAATTGCGACTACCGAAAAATCGCAGGTGAAGTTCGTAGAATTCGGTTTCGCCGCAATTATTACTGACCGTCCGTAGGTGAATTAGACTGCACGTTACCTGTCAGATAGGACACCTAGATCGTGCGTTTAGGCTAAGTAACCTATTCCTTGTTTTGAGATCACGGCCTTAGCACAGGATCATACATAGTTGGCTTGAAATACCGTGCAAAGTTCAATATCCGGCTACATCAAGACGCGTTATGTCTGTGTCTCGACTGCCTTCTCCGTCTCGTGCATCCACCAGTAGCGGACTGTCTATGCAGGAATTGATGAGATAACTGGACCTGGCCCTTATAAAGATTGAAAACTTAGAGCCGGAGGCAGATGCTGCTAAAAGAATCAAAGAATATCAAGACAGTGTTCAACGGGAGATGGAGAAATTAGATGAACTTTTTCGATCCATGAATCCTGAGGGGTTGGTAACTTGATCTTGTTCCGCAACAAATGAACGATGTGATGCCGTAAGAAGTTATGTAAATTCCATACCAGACCCAAAGGACTTGCCAATACCTGTTGAACAAGATACTGTTATCAACTCTCCAAATATCCACTTACGTAATGCTAACACGAGGCAAGACGATCGGCTTCTGGAAACCGCTCAGTTGGTGCAAACATGTATGGGACTTACTGCGCGACAGCTGCCAAAATTTGATGGGAACCCCGCTGACTACCACAGTTTTATGCGCAGTTTCATGTCCACTATTGCCCGACGAACTCGTGATCCGGCAGATTGATTCTCATACCTGGTACGTCATTGTGAAGGTGAGGCAGCCCAGGCCATTGGACGGTGTGCCGTTTTGGAACCTGAGAAAGACTACGCACTACGTATACTTGAACTTAGGTTTGGTGATCCGCATATCATTGCAACTACCTCGATAGAGCAACTGACGGAAGGGCCGACCCTAAAGGCGGACGATCATAAAGCTTTCATCACTTTGGCTGACGCCATGATGATTTGTTCTGCTACGTTGAAACAACTGGAATATCCAAATGATCTTAATTCTTGTCGGACCATTGGGGCTGTTGTAGCTAGATTACCTAGTACCGTGCGGAATGAATGGTTTGCCCTGGCAGCTAAATCATTTAAGTCCAAGCGTGATCCAACATTTGACGAACCGGCAAATTTCATAAGTGACAAGGCCGATGCAACAGCAGTTCAACAGGTGTACGCCGTAGGACGGAGGTTTATGCGTCCCCAGCCAAACACAGTGAGGCTCCAACCAACACACAAATCCCCACTATATAAAGCAGCCATCTTGACGACGCAGATAGGTAACGACAGATCAGGTCAGCTTAGGTTACCAGTGAAATGTGCGCAGTGTGGATCATCTCACTACCTGGATCAGTGCCCAGAGTTTATTGAAATGCCGGTTGTAAGCAGAATTGCCTGCGTAGACCGACCCTGAGTATGTTATTTATGTTTAAATCCGTACCATCAAGCAAAGGTGTGTCGATCCAGGCATGCCCGTGGGTTCCAGTTTTGTGGGCAAACATCATCCACTTTTGCACCAACCGAGCACTTCCAGGACAGAAAACGAACCAAAACCACCTGAGATTGCATCAGAAGGTGTACACCATAGCCTAGCGGATGTCCCAAAATAAAATATATCGCTTGCTGTAGTACCAGCTCGGATTCGAGGACCCGAAGGAGACGTCGTTGTCAACGTCTTTTTGGACAACGGTGCTAGTACGACCCTGATCCATAGTTCACTTCTGCCGAAACTGGAATTGAAAGGTACACCTGCGTCGTTAATTATTAAAACTATCACTGGAGTGTGTCATAAGATCTGCATCAGTTTCGTTCTCCATAGAATCGCTCGATTCTGTGAAAGTAATGCCAGTTCATCGCGCTTTTGTTGTCGACTCCATGCCCTGCTTACGATCACTCGCGCCACATCCCGAACAGTCCCAGAAGTGGAAGCATTTAAAGGAAATACCGTTTCCAGAATTGAAACCGGTAGACATAGGTCTTTTTATCGGTTGTGACGTCCCAAAGGCACATTGAGTTCTAGAGCAGAGGTTCGGGGGCCCCCAAGACCCTTGCGCAGTAAGAGGACCATTGGGATGGGTAGTTTTGGGGCCTTTATATTCAAACCCCAATAACAACCAGAGCGAAGCAATTTTCCATCACATCAGTCAAACGGAAGACTTAAATTTACAGCTCGAACGTATGTTCAACTTCGAATTTCTCGAAACTGCCTGTACCAAGCGAGCAATGTCTCCGAATGTTCGAGCGACCTATGACCGAATGCTTACGTCCTTGGAAACAGTGGACGGGCACTATCAGATACCCTTATCTTGGAAGGATGGAGCCCCGTGTCTACCAGAAAACAAGGGCTTGGCACTCAGAAGACTTTTTGTTTTAAAGGGTTGTCTTGAACGTGACTCTATCCTTAGGAAACTCTATTGTGAAAGGGTCGAAGAGTGTGTAAGTAAAGTCTATGCAGAACTCGTATCTGACAGTGAGCAAAATCAAGCTGGCCTAAGTGCATGGTACCTACCACACCATGGCGTGTTCAAAGCAGGAGACAAAAGCAAAGTTCGCGTTGTTTCTTACTGTGCTGCAGAAACTTTAAATACCTCCCTGAATATACAGCTGCTTAGTGGTCCAAATCTGGTGAATAGTTTTTCTGGCGTCCTTCTAAGATTTCCGGAACACCCTTACGTGTTGGCCGCAGATATCGTGGCGATGTTCCATCAAGTTAAAGTCCCACAATCCGATCAGGAATCACTACGTTTTATTTGGGGGATCAACGGTGAGCTTTCCAACCGACCAATTTCTTATCGCATTACTGTTTATCCGTTTGGAGCAACTTCATCGCCCAGTTGCGCTAGCTTAGCTCTCAGGCAGACTATTGAAAATTTCATGACCCCCTACGGAGAGGAAGCGGTAAGATAAGCCAATCGATCCTTCTACGTCGATGATTGTCTGATCAGTTTGCCCACGAAAGGAGCGGTAAAGACTACGGCCAAGCAATTTAAGGAGGCCCTAGCATCTGGTGGATTTAATCTTACAAGTTTCTTCAGTAATGTGAAAGAAGCATTGTGTTACTTACCCGAAGCGATATCTACTACTACACCGCTTCATTTGGTCGTCAACCAGACTACGTAAGGAGAACGTTGGGCGTGTTATGTGAAAATACGACTGATTGTTTCTGTTTCAAGGTTGAAAGCTGGAATAGTATCCCCACTCGTCGTACTTTACTGTCTTACGTAGCTTCATTGTTTGACCTTCTGGGGATGGTTGCACCAGTACTACTGCTAGCAAAGTACCTGATTCAGGATCTCTGTCGAAGGAAGGCTGCTTGGGACGATATTATGCCTGAGAATGAAACGTTGAAATGGAAGAACTGGTTGCTGAATTTACAAAATGTAGAAAGCATTCGCATACCACGGTCTATCCGACCCAAATCATTTGCTTCAGATTGTAAGACTGAGTTGCACGCATTTTCTGATGCTTCAGAGACCGGCTATGGTGCTGCTATCTACATCCGACTGATCGAGCCGCCGAGAATACCCCACTCCACATTATTGATAGGAAAGTCCAGAGTTGCCCCCATCAAGTACACAAGCATACCGCGATTGGAGCTCACTGCTGCTGTATTGTCTGCCAAGCTAACTGCTTGTGTGAGAGAAGAACTGTTTATTAATGTAGATTCCTCTTTTCTGTGGACAGATTCTATGATTGTGTTACAAATGATACGTAGCCGAACTACACATTATGAAACCTTCGTGGCTAACCGACTAGCGTCCATTCTTGATTATTCGGAACCTGAAGATTGGATGTATGTCGGAAGCAAATGCAACCCTGCAGATACAGCTACTATCCGACACGCCCACACTGTCCTTGTGGTTATCTGGCCCTGAATTTCTAAGAAAAGATTGCCACGAGTGGCCCCTTCAACCGGTTAGCCATCCTATTCCTGTTGCGCATGTAAAGTCAAAGGAAACCGAGGTGGTACATACGACTTCCACTTATGTATACTGGATTGATCGTTTTGAGCAGTTGGAGTCTGCTAAGGAGGCCAGTAGCGTGGCTGCGCCGTTTCTGCCTATGGATGAGACGCAGAAGATTTGTGCTGCCCGGAGACGAGTTGTGTGGTAAATTGACGAGAAAGGATTTGGTGAAAACGGGATGTCTTATCCTTAGGTCGGTTCAAACAGCTTGTTTCACAAACGGAATAAGACTACTGAAATCCACAGTATCTTCTAATGCTTGGGTCAACTACGACGACTCTCCCTAATTATATACCAAGGTATTTTACGTGTTAGTGGACGCCTTAGATGGGCTCCAGTGCCTTTCGATATGAGACATCTAGTAAGTCTCCCAAGACATCATTTCGTAACCAGGCTCCTCGTCCAGCATACCCATATACTGAACGGCCATGTTGGAACTTTGCAAGTCCTTAATGCGCTACGAGAAAAATATTGGGTTATCAAAGGTCAGACAGTCGTTCGGAGTGTTCTACATTCTTGTTTTTACTGCAAACGCTGGCATTCTCAACCTGAAGTACAAATTATGGCTCCAATTACTGAGGATAGAATGTTGACTCATGAAGCACCTTTCGCAGCGACTGGTATTTATTATTTCGGACCTTTGTTGGTAAAGCGAGATCGTGGGGTTGAAAAACGTTAGGGATGTATTTTTACGTGCTGTGCATATTGAGGTGGCCTGCTCTCTCGAAACGGACTCATTTTTGTGCGCCTTTTCCAGGTCTATTCCTCGGCGAGGATATCCAATTCGTATTTACATTGATGATGGCACTAATTTCCGTGGTACTGAAGCTGAGCTCGGACAGAGCCTACAACGGATGAACCAGAAGACTGTCCAAATCTCTTCTACAACAAGGATGTGATTGAATGTTTACTCCACCAAAGCTAGCCACAGGGGAGGTATCTGGGAAAAAATGATGTGATCTATTCGGAGGATACTGAGATCGTTACTTGGCAACCAATGAAGTTCTTATGACTGTGCTAACCGAAGTGAAAAAAAACATTAATTATCGACCTCTGACGAAGTTATCAGATGACCCTCTCGACCTTGGTGTACTTACTCCTAATCACCTCCTGTTACTGCAAGGTAACCCTTCAGTCGATGGCTCACCTGGATCGAACATGAAGCTAACTCAACGATGGTGCCAAGCACAACAGCTGGCCGATACTTTCTGAGTCCGATGGATAAAGGAATACTTACCTACGCTGCATCAAAGACACAAGTGGGTTGGATCTGGTCGTGATCTTAAGGTGGAGTACTTGGTTTTCTTAGTCGATACGTCCGTATCTAGAGGATTCTGGCCGACCTATGTTGTGCAAACGGTTACGCCAAGAAAGAATGAGCGAATTAGTGACGTGGTTCGAACGGTGACGGGACTCTTAAAGAGAAATGTTCTAAATTTGTGTCTTCTCGAGAAAACCACTGAAGATCAAAGTCCGCCCTTGACCCCGGGGAGTGTTAATTACGTGAATTAATTATTTGATTCCTTATTCCTCAGGCATGTTGATCACCCTTCCGGGATTGCTCAGGTTTCAAAACTGAACCGTTCTATTTTATACAAAGTTGACTCTAACTAAAGCGTTTTCTATAGACGATTTGTTTACATTTATTTTTGGGCTTGTTGTTGAAATTTTGTCTCACTTTGAACAGAACAACGACCTTACCGAAATTGCAAAAGTAAAGAGAGAGCAAACGGCGTTCAACTTGGAGGATCAGCTAATGATGCATCAAGAGGGCTGTATGGATAGTGAGCTCTAGTTCCTAGGCTTTTCATCGGCAGGATGAGAATGTCTGACGGATTTTTCTGGCTAAAATTTAAGCAGGGTACACACGGTATAATATTTTCAACAGCCAAGGAGGCGCAACTTAGAACGCATATTACTTTCGCTGAAAAAACGGATTCCGCGGTAACCTGGAAGAGTCCGATGGCGATTACCGGTGTTTGGGCTGCTGAGGGTCATCTGTGGTAGGCTGATTTTCTATGTGGACCATCGTGGGGTTTGAGCTATTTTAAAAAAGAACTGGGCGCCCTGTGATTTTGTGATTATAAGTTTTGGTCCATATTGCAAGGAAAAACAGCCAAATGTGAGGGCAGGTGCGGGCCACGGAAGAATTCTTGCACGGGAGGGACTGATCAATTACGCTTCGTTGGCCGCGTGTTTGGGGGCTGACCAGCGATGTGCAGAAAGCATCCTTGAACTTTCGGATGGTGGATGAGACTCCGCCGATCTTTGATTTTGGACGTATGACATCAGAAACCGGTTGGATATTGTGCACAACCCTATGAGCTCAAAAACAAATAATCGAAAAAAATCGGAGGATGGTTTTGACTTCCAAATTTACCATCGGTCTTTTCGGGGGGTTCCCTGATGAGGAGGTGGAGGAGTTCAAACATGTAGTTTATTGCACAAAAAAACAGGAGTGTGCCACTTTAAAGAATTAAACAGCCAAAAATTGTGCACTTTTATGGATTTTACGCAAATTTCCATTGCTAGACAGGAATATTGTGCTTCGTGGTTAAACAAAACGAACCAGATCCGTTGAAGGTGGAGATGCTGACTAAACAAGATGCCGACATGTTCTGCCAGGGGCGGTGCCTCGGTAGAAACCAAGGGAGCTCCGAGACATAAAACAGCCAGCGGTTCATGGTAATTCTCGTGTTGGGTGAGTGTAAACGACTGAAACCGGTAAACGAAAGTGCTAGTGGGTGGAATAAAAGTGCACTTGTGGGTAAGTTATAGAGGTCCATTAAGTTCAGCAGTATAAATGGGGAAGTTTCGATAGTATTGGGGATCAGTATCCCCAAAAACGACTTATTTTCCGACTTATTGCCAATTCATTTTTCAAAAAAATTGGATTTTTAAATTTCGCGCCTTTTCCGCCACACCAATCCAAATATATCACGCTGTTTTACTATTGACCAGTTGTACTTTGTGTACGTTAACTGATTTGTCGTTCCCCAAGGTCGCTCGACATATATAAATATATACATATATATACGACGTTGCTCTCGCTGTAACTCGCTTTTGGTCGGGGCAGTAAAAGCCCTCTTGTAAAGGTCTGGTAATCTTCTCTTTCTGCGCTCTTTTCTAAGGCTGATCAGTTACTATTCGGCATTCCTGTCCGCGCTACACGACATCCGGCCTCCTCTTAATCGGTTGCTTGGAAAGGACGTCCCCTGATTTTGGTCAGAAGAATGTGAGAAAGCTTTCTGCAAGCTGAAAACCATGCTCAGCTCTGATATGCTGCTGACCCACTACGACCCGAAACTACCGATTACTGTGGTAGCTGACGCCTCCAACTGTGGAGTCGTTGCCGTCATCCTACACGCCTTCCCGGACGGATCAGAGAAAGCCATTATGCACGCGTCGAAATCGCTTGCCTCAGCAGAACAGCGATACGGCCAAATAGAGAAAGAAGCGTTGGCATTAGGGTTC